TATTAATATAGCTACTTAAGAATAAAAAGTCTATATAAATACTATATCTATTATAAATATAGCTATAGTAAGTATAATAAACGTAGTAGAGTAGTATAAAAGTGCTATCTATAGAAAGAATAAATAAACTTAAAGTCTATAGTATTAGCCTCTCTAGAATAGCTATATACTACTCTTCTAAGTAGCGTAGATAGACTCTACGCGTTAAAGAGTTAGTCTAGCTTATCTAGTAATTAGCTACTAAATAGCTATTATAATACTACTATACGTATCTTTTAGTAGTCTAAGAATTTATATTACTTTAAATAAAACTACTATTTACTAGCTTCTTCTTTAATTACTAACTACCTTTTACGTAGTATAGATTTATACTAGATAATATATAAATATATAATTCTTATTAATAACGCTATATAGTATTAAGTAATTAGCTTATAAGATCTTATTTTTTTTTTATAGTACCTTTAAGGCTATCTCTAAGCTATTAGCTACTAGATTACTAACTTCTAATCTTCTAGCAGGTTATATTACGCTATTATAGTAATGCTATATACTTTCTATAGAGAAAAGTATCTCTCTAAAAGTATAAGGCTAACGTAGACGCTAGAATAGTCTAAATTAATATACTATAGAGGTAAATTATTATATAACTACTAATAGCTAAAGCTAGAAGTAGAGACGTAGTAACTAAGTAAAGAGATTAGTCTAGTATATTTAACTAAAGAAGTAGAGGCGTAATATAGGCGTATCTAAGCTAAAATAATAGTATAAGTACTACGCGTTATTTTCTAGAAGAGGTAGATAGAATAGTACCTAGAGAATACTATTAGTAAGCTTAAAGTAAGAGAAAAAAGAGTTATAGAACTACTTACGCTAGTATAGCTATATAAGTAGTAAAGAGCTCTACTCTTTAACTATAGCTACTACTAGCGCGAGATAAGTAAGTATTCTATAAGAAAAAAGAGAGAGCTAGTAGTAAATATAGATAAGAAGTAAGAGTTACGTAAGAGTATAAGAATAGATAGTAGTAGAAAAGCTACTAAATACGTAGAAACGTAAGTAGAGACTTAAATTTAGTAGCTATAATTATTAAAATATAGAAAGCTAGATAGCGCTATCTAGATAGAGGTAAAATAATAAAAAAGAAATAAGGTAAGGCGAGTACAAGTAATAGGCGGTAGCGAGTTTAAAAAATATCTTATAAAGAATCTACTAGAGGCCTAATAGAAGCGGTTAGTCTAGGCAAAGTAGATAAGAGAAGTTACAAATAAAAAGAGAAGAGTAGAGAGAAAAGGTTATAGAGAAGAAGAGAAAATAATAAAAAGAGAAAGTCTTTTATAGTAGACGTTAAGGCTAATTTCTAGTTTAAGTATAGCGTAAAAACTATAAGTAAGATCTAGATTACCTAAATAGGTAGTATCTATTTTCTAATATAGAGTTACTATCTAATTATTTACTAGATAATATTATAGTATTTAAAATAGAATTATACTACTACTAGATAGAGAAATATATATTAAAGTTATATAACTAGCTTTTTATCTATACTCTAATATACTTTATAAATAAATATATTATATAAATAAATAATCTATAATTTCTTAGTAATAAAAATTAATAAAAACTAACTTATTTTTCTTAAATAACTAAGTAAAACCTTAATATTTTTCTATAAAAATTTATATATATATTTCTTATAATATACTTTATAAATAAACGCTCTATATAAATAAATACTCTAAAAATACTAAGTCTAAGAATTAATAAGTCTTTCTTAAATAACTAAGTAAAACCTTTATATATTTCTATAAAAATTTAAATATATATTAATCTATACTATATATATATACTATTAAGTTTATACTATATATTTTCTATTACGTAAGCTTAAAATAAGTCTTTCCTAAAAGTAGCTATTCTTAGAGTTTAAACCTTATAAGAACTAGTAAACTATTATAATAATCTATAAAACTTTAAATATATATTATATAGTATAGTATAAAGCCTTTTATAAGGTTTAGTAGCGTCTAGCTTAGTAATATCTATCTATTTCTAGAAGAAACCTTTAAACTTCTTATTAGAGAGTCTTTAAGTAAATATCTCTAGTACTACTAAGCTAAACGCTACTAAACTTTATA